TCCAAAAGTTGGCTGTTTCGACGCTGGAATGGTCGGATTTTGTCAACATCAATAAAATGTCAAATAATCATATGTAACTCATTAAATATCGAAATTAGAAGGAAAACAACTTTTATTTGAAGCATTTTTCGCAATTTTGAAGAAAAAGATAATTTTCGTCAGCGTCAATACTTAATTGGATATTTCCTTCTATACTTTTCAGCACGTAGCTATTTATTATTGGCATTATTCTTCCGACGTCTGATTTCTTTTTAATTATAGGAAATGCGTTTCTCTAAGATACATAAACTCTTGGGATTGACTGTATAGCCAATACATCCTTAACTGGGTAGCCTCGTTTATTAAAGATTCTACATAATATTGGTTCACATGGATCTACTTTCTCATGCGTTAAAGAAGCCCAGCGACATTCTGCTTCAAATGGAAATTGCAAGGATAAACCGTTTAAGTTTATTCTTTGTGAAATGGAAACAATTTCTTCTCTGTTTTCAATAACGAGAGATTGTCAAACAATGCCGGATTAATTGAATCGGTGCATTGTAAACACGCAAGATGATCCGTAAGCGCATCACGCGTATATTTCAATTTTATCGACGCGTCCCGTGAATAACAGTTGATTAATCCCACTGTGTTGGTTTAAATCCGGCGCTGTACGTTATACGAAAAAATCTTTTACAAACCATCCGCGACGCTTTTATCTCCGATTCTGACCACGCGTGGTATCGCGACACGCGGCCACCCGCGAGGGACAACAAAAATGGACACGCTCTTCGCAGAGAATTTTCCTCATCCCAGCGATCGCGCGTGAACATGACGCCCGAACAGAGAGGGTTGGAAAACGCGGAGAGCGAGACAAACGAAGGGTTGAATAGCCGTTTGCAAAATTATTGGGTAGAAAGACGGAAATCGGGTACGTGCGCGGCTAACCGCAAATGCCGAGCGAATATATTTCTGCCCTCCTCGTTCTCTTCCACACGTTTATTCGCGTGTCTTCCTCCAGCGAACGATTTCACCTCCCGAAGATATCCCCGTCGCGACCCATTATATTCCTCTCTCGACCTACTCATCGAAAATCATTGCCAATTGTTAACTGACGGTAACTTGAGTCACTGGAAAACCAGTTAAATGGTCGCTTAACCGCCTTTGATCTCGTCCTGCGTATTAGCATTTCCGTTTCGCGATCGTTAATCGCATCTTACTCGGTACTTGACCGACTGTCCCGTCGTCGACCTATGCTCCTGTTCCATTATTACATTACGATTTGAAACGGGGCAAAAATTATTTATAGCACGGACGTTTTTCAGTAGTAAAGTACCGCTCGCATTCCCGTTCCTTCTGGGCGCGTTCTACAAGGCCTGCTTTATTTGAAAAGTTTTTCTCCGGTATAAAACAGCGACGGTAAAAAAACCGTCTGGCCCGCGCAAGGTAAATCCGAATGCTTTTCATATTTCCCCTTTAATATCCGCACTGTTCCGCGTCATTGTTCCCTTCCGTCCTCGTCCTCGGGTTTCGCTCGTCCTTCTCCCGGTTGCCTGCCCATCGGAAATCATTCCCACACCGCCAATTGTCAATCGCCAGTAGCCTGGATTGGCTTCGATCCAATACAACTAAGTTCCCTCCTTCCTATGCCTGCTGATTCTGTTCGGGCGCAGGATCGTGTTATCCGGATCGTCCGGAAATCCGTCAGATCGAGACAATCGATGGGAAACCTATAGGAGCCGTAGAGACGCGAGGAACATTCGAAATAGTGCGCGATCCGTGACTCGCTAGGTGCTCGGTGAATTAATTTATCCGGAAAATTTGGGGATTAAAATACTTCACCCGGTAGGGGAAATTGAATCGCCGATTTGAACCGGCGCGATCGATGAAACGTGCACAGTATTCCAGTTACCGGAGTCTAACAAGATGTTCGCTTCTCGGTAATGATTCTTCTTTCGAAAGGTAAACGAGAAACACCGTCGGCGTCTCTTATTACCTTGACGAGAATTGAAAACAAAGCACGGAAAATGGAATGCGAATCCATTAGAAAGTTTAAACGGGCTCGTAAAACGGGATGTTCGGAGAGGTTCGTTAGACATTCCAATCAACTGAGCAATTAATGTCCTGCCGACCGCGATGCCGTTCGGTAAGATAATTAAACGAATGAATCTACGCGTAATCGGGAAAAGTTCCTCGCTGCACTTGCTCTTTGTACTTTTATTCGCTCACCTCTCTTCCCTTTCTTCAATCACGTTATCCGTCGTGTCAATAGTCCGAAGAAAGCAGCTCTCGGTAAAATACGGTGATTCGGTTTTTCGTAACTGGCTATTTATTTTATACATGACAGTAATTGCACTCGTATTTCAATTATTTCCACGCAATTGACGACATAAGAGCGACTCTTATACTTTTCGAAATAGGATTATTGTATAAAAATCGAAATTACGTGCAAGCAAATGATCAGTCACGTGTAACAAACTCTGCAATGTCGTAAATCGATAAAGAACAATAGCCAAACCTTTAAGTTTTCCCGAAAATTCTATGGGAAATTTTCAGCAAGAATTCCTGTTGATCGATGAGGAGGATAACTCGTCCCTGAAGTGCAGTAACCTCAGCACAAGAGTTTCTCTTGGAGCATCCCAAGAAGGTCTTATGACCCGTGCAAAATGAATGCATCCTAACTCAGGTTGCATTCTTTTTTCATCCCCATTGCGGGCTTGCCATCACTGAGATATCCGCTAAATCGACCGTGGAACGAAATATGGTATTTCATTTGAATACCCTTTCACATTTTTCTTATTTATTCTTCACCGAAACCTGGAGCAACAGCTTGGGAAAAACATTTACATAGAGACCGCGCCGCGGGACCAGGTCGAGAAGAATTCACTCGGGTAGCACTGTTTCTCTTTGTTGTCCTTCAGGTTTAAATGATCGAAAGCAAATGGAGGTTCACGGTGAAAGGGTGCATGTACAAAGCAATTAAAACGCGGTATTCAACGACGCGGGAAACGCCACTGTCGAAAAAGGTAACAGAAACGGCGTCGGAACACGCCGATGTATTTCCTGGCAGAGAGACGAACGTTGGGGTAGTTTCGCTCGTTTCGGATGTGGAAAACATCCCTCCGATGAGACGGTGCGGTTACGTCGGTTACCTCCTTCTGGCTCCCTTTTCACTTCCCTTCTCCACCCTTTAACCGTACACTTGCGTATCCCGAACAGGTTACAAACGACGAGCACGGTATTACAAGCCGCAAATTACACCCCCGCAGCCCTCGCCGCCACGCGAATGTGCGAGAGCCCAAGACTGCTGCTGGATTACACCCCTGACTGCGAAACCTTCCGTTGGAATACCGTTCCGCTTCCCTTCTCGAAAACGAAACGATCCAGCGTACCGTGATAAATTGGGACGAAGAATATTAACTGTCGTTTGGCAGATAATTATTACAGCTCGGTAATACGGAAACGTCTTCGATTCGTGGCGTAAATTATAGGAAACAGGAAAAATAAATTATAGGAACAGTTAGCATGTATCAAATCTGATACATATGAAAAATGTGAAACTCGAATTAATGATACAAGTCATCAGACGTAGATTCGTTAAAAACTCGATGGAGAAATTCGTCACGGAGACAAAGCGTAATCCCTTCTAGCAAATGATGTCGCGAATATTATATTCTCGTGTTCATAAATCTGGTCCTCGCGTTCTGTAAAAGTTGCGGGAAATTCATTACGGAATTAACGCAACGGATTTAGTAAACGATGAATTACTACGCTCCGCGACCCTCTTTTAAATCGACCGGATAACGCAATCTAATACTGTTACGTCGGCCTCGATAATAAGGACAGATCGTAGACCCGGTTTCATTTAGTTCGGCTGGCAATTAGACCCACGTTTTCGTTGGGGGAACGCGCGCACCGCCATGTGAAAGGTTCGTCCATAAATAGTCAAGTTTTGTTAAACGTTCGCCGAACGAAATTAGGTACAAGACAACAAAGTCGTCGGCTAAAAATTACGTAGCCTAGGAGGCGGAAAGTTCTCGGCATAATCTCGTTCTGCGGTTTAATTTTCCGGCATTATGTTTCTCTCTGGAAAATGTGCGCGTATCCCTGAATTCTTCGTTCCCCGACCCTTTTCGCACTTTCGGTTCGGAAAGGGAGGTCCGCTGTATTAAGCCATTTCACTAATTAATTTATACCGGCCGCTGGTTCACAAGAACTTCGAATACTATTTTTTTCGTGTATATCTTGAACCGTGTCGAAAAAGCCGAGGGAAAAATAATCGTACGAAAACAGCTTGACGTTACGTACTAACGCCTCGAAAGAGTCTCTCAAACGAGCATGCAGCCCGAAACTAACGATTTTAATTGGAACATAAATTTCTTTCTAAGAGAAAATTGAAACTTATTTATCCACATTCGGCTTAAAAAATAATTTTGAAGATTGAAAACAAACGTGGCTATAGTATTTGCTTATTAATGTTCGAGGAGTAGGAAAGACGAAGTGATTGTAGGAAACTCTGTGTGTGTGGCAGCGCGCAATACGTAGACAGATGTGAATAATAAAAAAGGGGGCGAGAACGAGCGATGGAGAGTTTGTAAATTTTGAAGAAAGACGAAAGCGTCTTTCGTTTCGTTTGCGTTCAGACGAACGACCATTCGTCGTCAAACGGGTTCGGGCTCGGGGAAAATATACGCGGAAAACGTTCGCAGACGCGGGCGTTACTTTTTACGAGTGTGGCACCCAAGAGACGAACCGTATCTACCAGACACGCTCGTAGGTGTTCCATATTTCATAGCTTGTTGCTCTGCATTGTTACGTCACGAAATTGCCACTTCTTACACTTTAAAATGAAAACGGATGTTACCACGGTGATAGAATGGCACAAAGAATGCTACTGCAAGCGTTTAGGATACGCGATATTTTACTGATCTAAAGCTGATGTTAAGCTCGACGATTATTTGGATATACGATCGATGATATATATGTACACGTGTATCAGGTTTATTAAATAACATCTCATGTTCAATATTAAGTATTTATTACATACAAGCATTTATACAATACGAAGTATTTTTAGACATGACTGATGATATTTAGCATTCTCTCTCAGTATTCGTATGTTTAGAAACATTCGTTCGTATGTATTGGGATTATTATTATTATTATTATTATTATTATTATAGTTATTATTATTAATATTATTATAGTTATTATTACGTGTCCTTATAGAGTAGTTTTAGTTAGACCGAATAGAATAGTTTGAATAAATAACGTCGATATTATATAGCGATTGCATCCCTTTGTCTGTCGGAAGCAACACCATACGATTAAAAATAATTCTTGGGGAGTAGTCGAGTTTGCTATACGTACAACTGATACAGATCTCCTCAACGATATCGTGTCTACGCGCTTAAGAAGCTTAGGCAATCAACGACTGTCCTAAGATCGTATTCTGTACAGCAATGTGCTACAATTTTTTTGATAAAAATACGTACTCTTCTTTTTCTGTCTCCTTAGTAAAATATTAGCTCTTTCATAGAATAAAAAATCATGATGCGATATAAAAAAAACGCTGCGCGGTTAAACAGTAAGAGAAAAAAAAATCGGTGACAGGAGTGCAGCGAAAATCAGGGAAATTTCTAATATGAAATGTAGCACGAACATAAAAAGATTAAAAAAAAAAAAAAGACAAGGATATAACAAACAGTACATAATTCGTGATGGTAGATGGTATCTCTTCAGGCATATCGATGATTGTTTTTTTTCATCTTTATTTCTACTACTTGGAAATCAGGAATATTGAATTTATGCTTTATTATTACCCTTCTTATAAACAACCATATAGGTCAAACAGTATTATGCACCTGCGATTGCGCAAGTGGTTTAAACACAAAGCATGCTAATGATATTGATTTTATAATAGTATGCCACAATAATAATAACAAATAACTCATATCTTAGACACCAATTACAATCGTTTGTTCGATAACATTAATTGTTTTTAAATTATCCACTCTATCAGTATACTAGTATGATATCTCTATAATGAATAGCCACCACTATAATGGATAATGTAACATGATCTTATTATCTTGCGTTTGATTTTTCACGAAATGTTAGACAAGACTTTCGACTCTTCGCTAGAATTTCCATTTTCGTAATTATGCTAAGTTCATTACTTTCCCGTGTAACGGTATCTATATCGTATTTTGTAAAACATCATTTACAAACAAACTAATATACTTATCGATCTCTTATACCGTAAAGGTATGCAGTGGCTATTTCACAAAGTAATCGCCGTACTCGTCATCGTCGTCATCACAGCTAGAAAATTTATGTTAGATTCGCGAAAACGTAATAGTAATGAGAAATCTAGTGGATACCTAGAGTACCAATATTGGGTAAGTTTTCTAATAAAAAAAAAGGGAAAAGAATATGATTAAAAAAAAATAGTAAAATTGCTTGACTAGTGAGCGCACGCCCCAAAAAATGTAGTTATGGAAGAAATGTGTGTTTTTTTATACATATCTCTGCAGAAAATCTTACTAGATATGATTATACATAGATTCGTTTTCTATATTCAAATTCTATAGGTAATATTATACTATATTCTTATGTAAGGACAATCATTGGAGCTTATTCTCCTACGTCATTTTGGCAGATTATATGTAGGTTTCGTAAAATATTTCGACCAATTCACAATCTTGTGCTATTTGTTTGTCAAGCCGTTTTACACATTCGTTTACGCATAAAAATTCCATTGTACCTGATAAAATATATTTAAATCGTCAAAATTCATTAAAAATCACGTTCCATACCATATCACGATTAAAATTCGTTTTTCTTCGTACGTTTTTGTGAGACGTTTTACTGTTGCTAAAATAAATTGAATGAAATTGAATACAATAAAATATATATAACGCGCGTCGCCAAATCAGTATGTCAAAAACAGGCCTTATTCCTTTGTAAGGACCTCTAAAAAGATTAGATTATCTAATAGCATACTATAACGGACTGAGTGCCTATTTGCTGTTTGCATAGTATTATTAATTAACATTATATATTATTTTACATTATCTCTCGTGACAACGTTTAAGGACAAGGGTAGTTTGTCTCTGACGTAGTGCCCCCATTTCTTTCTCTACTTTAGATCTCCGTTTCTACACATCGATATAACGCTTATTATTTACATTATCATAAAATGACCTCGCCCTCGAATATCGTTAAATATACCCATTGGATTGTACGGTGTAAAGCAACAATCAGTATATTTCTCAATCCAATCGTTTCTTCCTCCTCTCACCAGAATGTTTTAATACACGCATTATGATAAAAGATCTGTAGGCCAAGAACAATTGCGTTACATATTGTATATCATTGTCGGCTATGCATTATTGTTACGGGTACCGCAACAAGTAAGGCGTGTACGTACCTGGTACTTGACTATTATCTTGTTGCGGTTTGTTGTTCAAGAAAGAATCCTGGAACGGATTTACATTGGCGTTAGCAGCAGCGGGCATGTACGTGTTCGCCATTGGGGTGAAAGGTATAGCTGCTGGGTTTAAGTTCGAGTTTAGGGTGTCCTCATTCGCCAAACTCGATGTCAACTGGAGTATCGGGCCACTACTGCTATTACTGAGAGAGTCGAATTCCGTTAGGTCTAACAGGTTGTTGGTCACGTTGTTTTGTTTGCTATAAAACCAGCGAAAGGAAACATACAAATACCAAATAATAGGCAATCGTAACAACTAAAGATAACTACTTGCGTTAGCAGTCATTATTTTAATCTCTAATAGACGAAGTTATGATTACTAAAAGTTGTTTAACTCGATTATAAGTATATAGAACTCAGAACGCTAGTATTACTAAAATTAATATTTACATTAATCGTTAAATCAATTAACTATATTAATGTTTTAAATATTTTAACACTATTGTCTAAATTTTCTAAAGTATTTTGAATGAAAGACAGAAAATAAAGAATCGACAACTATGTATAGTATGAAATATAATTTTCGTTGAATTTTAAAAAGTTCTTCGAAAAGAAATTTATCCTGAAAACTTGTCTAACACTTCGGTTTTATCCAATATTGCATCAACACTATTTTCGTCACTAAGATTTTAAGAGGCAGCTACTTTACTGTAAAGCAGCTAGAGAAAAAGCACTCGTAGTATGCTTGTGAACTTATGCAAAATTCTATGGCGTAACGTAAATTGTTTAGGAGAAACAATTGACATATAAAACTATCCTTTTTTTTTTAAATAAAATTATAGGTGTGTATGCAATATGTACATTATACGTGATACTACCATACAGCAGGTTTCACAGCTCGAGTTTTGTTCGATCGACATCCGTTTTTCTCATTTCGGATTTCCTGTCGTCTTTAGATCGAATAAATTTGAAAATATACATGCCTCGTTTCGACGCAAGTAAACTTTCCTATAGGATTGATGGAGTGGACAGTGTGAAACATATCTCTGTACAACGAAAGGGTAATTTCGAAAGTATGTGAAGGTTGATAGTACATAGCAAAAGTAGACAGCAAGTTGACACGTACTGCTGGATGATATACAATATTGAACACAAGAAAAGGAACGTACAAAGTAGAGCAAAGAAAAGTATAAGCCACACCATAATATACTGATACAGTTAACTCACAACATGCGCTGGTGGTAATTGATTCGGCAAGTAGGAACGTTAATACGAAACACTGTAATTAAGGCATATACACGACGAACTAATTGGAGGAAAGATAAAGTAGTAGCTCATCAAAGATGATACACTGGGCAAAAGTTACGCTTTTGTAAAATGAGTGAACAAATGAATAACACCGGAAGCGGATCGAATGTATCTTTGATGAGCCAATGTGATAAAATTACAAACAAAATCTTTTGGATGAGTCATTAAATTTTTATGCTATTTATCTTTCTTTACATTATGTACACTGAATTTATTATTGATTGGTTGATATTTAAACGCTGTAGCTCTGTCAGTTAACATTCCTATGCTTTTTAAACGATACATGTTTTATGCATTAACATATTAATTACTAGAAAGAAATCGGTGTACAATACAAGTTAAACCTTTTCATATGTAATTCGTTTAGATGTCTACCTAAAAATATTATATTTTTTTTTAACTAGTAGGCGATTAAATATAAATTATAAAATATATGTAAGTATAATAGACAATACAATATACATTCTCCATACCTTTCGTATTACCGATGATATATCGTAATGTTTCCGTATATAATTTATTGTTAGTTTACTAGTATAATCGTGCGATTAGGTGAACTTTCGATAGCGATAAATAATTGCCATAAAATATGCATTCACATCTGTCAACCGTTGCCCTGACTACTTTTGCAATGTACAACAGATTGGAAAATCGTTTGTATTGTTAATGGTAGTTGTAAGATAACTCCTACCAAGCCTAAATGAAATATTACAAAGCGGAATCCCTCCGACTCGTGAAGAGAAGCTCAATAAATTTTGTTATTTTGAACAATTATGTATAGGTGTATATATAGCGTACATATAGTATTCTCAAACTTAATTTTCCCCTTCATCATACGATTACCACAAAAAACATCTCAAACAACAAAATTCATTTATATACATATTAACGATCAATTCTCAACATACCGCTTTCGTATTTTAGAATAAACATACAGCATTTCAATTTTTATCGTAACTCTCAATTCATGTATTAAGCACGAATACTCTATTCTAAATTTCTTATTTTTGTCTCTTTTTAATTATACCCGTAAAAGCACACATTATGCTTAACGCGTATATTTATTGTGGCACATATTTCAACTTTATCATGTATTCGTTTGAAAAAAGAAGAAAGAATGTTTGCACTCTAGCCATTTCGTTCATCCTATTATGTATTCATTTCCCAGTTGGAAAAGTGGAATGTTATTAAAACGGTAGCAACATGTTACATCATATAGTTAAAAACAGAACAAATAATACCATAGACAGCGATTTGGAAATAGAATAAATTAATACGATCACGACAGGCTGTCATTTATAGTTCACATAGTATGTGCGTATCTATCAATTCAGAGTAAATCTATAAACAACTTTCATTTACATAAATGACTAGAGTATTACCCTGAATCACTCAAAACACAGATTATTTTACGTTCACGTTAAACCACTTTTCAAGTATGTATGAAGAATCTGCAGTTGTTCGCGTATACACTCGTGGCATTGTAATGTTAAGTAGTCTGATTTAAAGTTTTGATTGATTTCTTGTTGTTTCGTGTAACTGCGACGCACATCTCTAGCCTGTTTATTATAATTTATACGACGAACACGTTCGCACAATTATGAACGGCACTATAAATCAGTCGATATTTTTACGTATACAATGGCTAGTATTGTGCAGGTATTTTATATAATAATAGTTACATCGTTAGCGATAATTTTGCTTCCAAAAGAAACTATGATTGCATTTAATAGATATATATTACGCAACATCGCGTATATAATATATATATATGTATATATATTTATATATCTTATTCACACAAAATTCTAGATAAAATATGCATTTGGTAGAAATAACTTTGCTATTTAGAAATTCTTACGAGTGTCGGATTAAAAAAATGGTTTCGTTCATGAAAAAATATCTCTTATTCTATGCGCCTCGAAAAAAGAACGGAAAGAATGAATAATTTTAAAAAAAGAGGAATCTTATGAATCTCCCTGTAACGTGGGTGTGTACATGTGTAAGGAGCTTCAGCAGTATTCAGTAACGCTAGTTTGACGTAAGCCTTGCGCGGGCATTCATAATAATATTTATTGTCGAATTAATCTAAAAGAGAAATGAACTCACAATTCTTTGAGATGCTCTTCGATGTTATCTTTCAGGTTTTACTTTTGTTACTAATAGGAAATCCAGTTATAGCTTGGATTTTTGTCTTTCATTTTGTTATGGCGATCGGTAGGTGTAATTTATGCAATTCTTATATGTTAATGGAAATACTTGGTTACAAATCTGTAACGTTGATGTTTTATATACTTACACGGTGGCATTATCCAGTGTAATCGATTGACTGTTGATACCGTTTCCGTGATTCGTATGATGACCGTTCAGTTCTTCCACATTACCCTGATTATTATCCAACACTATTTTACTTTCGTTAATGCCATTACTATGCGTGCCGTTGTGCACGATATCCGTAGTAGTATTGTTTTCCGTATGATGAGCTCGCTGTTCTCCGCTAATGAACTGTTGAGTCGCTTCGGATATTAGACTGGCCGTCATAACATCTTCGGTTTTGCTTGGTGCCATTTTATTTTCATCGTTCGGACTGTCTTCTTTCAATTTATCGCCATCGCCGCCTTCACCCTGCGCACAAATTATACATACAATACTGTATAAATCATTTTCATCGATATACAGTATTTATAATCGGTAAATCTATGTAGTTACCTTCGTAGGTGTGTTGCTCTGATTTTTTCCCCGAGTTCTGAGCATAATCGCTTCAACGCGTTTACGTCTAGCAAGTCTCTCCTCCTCTTCCCTTTTAAGACGTTCCGCCATTTCAATCCGTTGTCTATGTAACAAGAAAATTTTATCGCTTGGCAACTTAATAATATGTTCGGTCTATTAAAAATTCTTAATATCAAAATATATGACTAACCTTTCTGCTTCTTCCCTCGCCTTACGCTCAGCCTCTTCCTTCTCCTGTTTCTGGCGAGCTTCCTCTTCTCTTCTTCTTCTGTCCTCCTCCTCGCGACGTTTCGCTTCCTCGATCGCAAGTCTCAATCTCTCTTCTTCGGCTTGTTTAGCCTCGTTAGCCAAACGTATCGTCTCTTCTTCCAAACGGCGTTGCTCTTCTTCTTCGGCACGCAATCTCTCTGCTTCCAAACGGGCTTCCTCCTCCTGTAAAAAGATCCCATTCTAAGTCGTCTTCTTTACGTGAACAATGAAATCTTTTCTATGAGAAAAGTTATGTAAAAACCGCACCTGTCGCTGGCGTTCAAGTTCAGCTTCCCGTTCAGCTTGTTCCCTGGCTAATCTTCTACGCTCAGCTATAGCTGCCTTAGCCTCTTCCTCCGTGGTGATCCGGATTTTCGCTATCATCGACGCTAGAAAGAAAGACCGTCCGTCAATCCTCTCTATTAATATCTCAATACCTCAAAGGCTACTGCTTACCTGACATATCGACCGGTTCCTCCGTATTGTTCTCGGACTTGGTTTCAGCTTCTTTCTTTGCAGTCTTCGGAGTTTCTTGGGACCGCACAGCCGACTGGATTTCCTGATTCGAATTGGTCTCGTCCTTCGTTTGTTTGGACACCGAATTGGGCTGCTCGATCGGTTTCTTCAGTTCTTCACTAATGCGATCCGCGGCGATTACCTCCTGCTGTAACGACAATAGCAAACCGGTCATTCGTCTGCGAGCGTGCGCATCTGATTTCATTAAACGCGAGAAATGAATTACTTGTGTTTTCTCGGTGCCCTGATCCTTTTTCTCTTCCTGTTTGTCATCCGATTTTGTATCCTCCTTCGCTTCGTTCTTTATTATCTCACTGGTGCTGCCGCGAATCAAGGGCGCGTTCTCCGCGCCAGGACTCTGCAACGGAGTCGCCTTCGGAGTTATCCGCGGCGAAGCCTTCGCGCTTTTCACCAACTTCTCCATCGGTTTCTTCACGTCCGATGCTTTCGGCGTAGACGGTTTCTTTGGAGTGCTGTGGACCTTTGGCAGTGGCGGTTTCGAATCCTTCGACGACTTCGTGTCGCTCAAGAGATCTGATTAATTCGCAACTCGTTACTTTCATTGAAATTTATTAATTCGATACGCGCGGTATTTAAATGTGCAATTCAAATAAAAATTGAAGAAAACAAAAATAATACGTGAACTAAAACGAACTGGATACATAAATATAAGAAACGAATACATAAACTTATATAGTCAAAGGAAATATTGAAGGGATTTCAACAAAGACGCAAACTAAGCGTTCTGGCATCAGCGAACTCGATTCTCCGTTTCGTGTACCGCGTATCTCTTTCTAATAAGAAAAGAATAATAAGGCATGCTCACTGTGTCGTTCTGTGACCGAAACACCGGTACCGGCAATAGAAGCAGGTCGCGGTCGACGCGTGGTAGCTGTACGGGGACGTAAATTGACGTTACTGCTGCCCACGCTGCTGGCGCTTTGCTGGCTCATGGAGCTGTGCGGTCGTGATGGGCTGTTCGGTGTCACCTCCCCGCTGCGGATGCCTACGCGTACCCACCCAATTTAAACATCTCTTCATTGTTCTTTTTTTTTTTTAAATAAATTGTTGTTTGTCGTCGCGCGTTAAAACGTTTTAAACGAAGCCGTGATATGTGCAGCAGTCGCATCATTTGCGTCTGCCGCTCCATTTCAGTGGCTCTTTTATAAATGTCATGTTTCTAACAAGTGATGTCGATTAACTCAATAATAAATATGGTTCGACAAACTAATCGTGTTTTCTCATTCGTTTATTGGTTGATCACTGGGTTTTGTATTCATTGAAGTAGACGTAGATGTGTTTGTTGAGAGTTACAATTAGCGAAATTAAAAGAGATAACAAGCACCGCCACCAAAAAATATTATTCGATCGTGTTCGCATGTGAGATGTAATGTACATCGATAATAACTTAGAATAAAAGGCGGAAAGTAAAAATAAGAAAGTTAGAAAGTAACGAGGGAAAATCATAAGACCTCGTAACACAGCACAAAGGACAAATCAAAGAACGAAAATGAAGTGTATTGCACACTAAATACGATTACGCATTGTCCACACAACTATCATCGTGCTCAGAACGTGTGTGTGTGTGTGTGTGTGTACAATATATATATGTATCATATAAAAAGAAAAAATTGTGTGGCTTACCAGAGAACGTTAGAGCGTACCTTCACCCTTGGGTACCGAAAAGCCGGTGAGATCTGAGACCATTTCCTTAGCGGGAGCGTTTTGTTAATCAATTCGGATTGCACAGTAATCGAAAGAATTTCATGCGATGGCGTTTTATTGAATCGTAGAAGGAAATACAACCGACGGTTAAAAATTGCATGTTGAAACGTGCAGCGTGAAGCGCTTTGAAGATTGTTAGTTCTCCGTTTCGATACCGGGAAGCATTCAAGCGTGAGGCTTTCTATATACCGGCTCGCGCGCGCGCGCGGAAACGCACGAAGAGAACAACCGCGATAATAGAAGGATTTTCTGTCTTATTGATTCACAATGGCTCCTCACTACGTCCGTATGCATGCACATGTGCACCCAACTCATGTTGCACAGAACGACGAGAATGCAAAGTATCCATGTAGTTATTATACGAACGCTTAGAACGTTTATTCGAAAGTATTCATATCACGAGATGAGTTAACGAAAATTAGTATGAAGCGTATCGTACACGGTACGAATAGTATTATTACAGAGACAACGGCATCGATCACAGATGAGAGACGTCGTCATTGTCAAAGCTTGATGAAGACACGCTGCATTATTTACATAATTCGTCTTGATTCTTGCGGGATAGACTGGGAGAGGCGTGTGTGCGATAAACGAGTAGCAGGCTTTCGCGTACTTGAGTTGAGTGCACAAGAACGATCTTACCTTGCTGCTGTTGGTTCTGATGCTCGCGGGCTTTGCGACGCAGTCTCTCGGCCCTGGTCGGTCTCGGCGCCGGGACCGCGCCCGGCAACGTACCCATGCTACGAGAGTTATCTGAGCGTTTTAGGCTCTTGCCTCCGGACGCAGCTAAATGTGACATGCTGCGACTCATGCTAGAAGCGCTCAGAGGCTGGCTCTGCTGTTCCGTCAGCGTGCTAAGTTCTGTCGGACGTTTCCTAGGCTGCGCCAGCTGGTCCAGCCTGGACATGGAGTAAGTCCTACCTGGCGAACGTGCGAAGGCCTTCGCGCTGGAACTCCGGCCGGAGGACGGTGGCCCGTCACGCGGCGATGGTATCGTCGGCATCAGGTCGGTACGTCTCCTGTTCACCCGCAGATAGACCGAGCTCGGCGTTCCTGGTGTTCCGTCACTCTCTTCACCTGCAATCGATGTTTTTTCCCCTTAAAGAGCGAAGCGCGGAGCAGCCGTCACCGATAATTGCGCGCTATACAAATCTTAACGTGTGTAACAAGGAGCAGGTCATCCGAACATTGCAACACAAAAAAGGTCGTTCCAATTTGCACAGAAAGGCGACGGGCAACTTCGTGCTGAGAGAGAGAAAGCAACAGATCTTTATACAGCTGTTGAGCTGCCCATCGCCGGCATAAATCGAGTACGTGTGTATGTTTCTGCATGTTTCTCTCACAAGAGGAGACCACGGTCGACGGATGAGGGATTTTCATGAAACTTGCAGCACTAAAGTTTAATTTGGCAAAGCAGTACAGTGCAATTCTCAAAATTTGCCGAGAAAATTACATTTGAAAATTGCTTTACTCTGTTACAAGCGGTTTGCGACGTTTGAGAGTTTCCGTAGGTCGTAGGACGTACGTTCGGCAACGGAACCAGTGCTATAGTCTTTAAGACAGGGTATAGAGAAAAGACTGTAAAAGCAGGGACCTTAGGGGCCTACGTTTGACACCGAATCGGCAGGTTGACTACCTGCTTCGGGGATTCTTTCGCTTTTTCCTATACACTGTAATAAAGACTATAACACTGGTTCTGCTGCTGAACGTAGTCCTACGATCGTATTACCGTTAACAGATCGAGTCTCCTCCACGTTAATATTTTTTTCATTCTATTTTATGTACATAGTTTTTCCAAATGCGTGTAAAATTTATGCAATATGCACCAATGAAAGTTGTTTTTATGTGTTAAACTGAAAATGCATGTTGAAGATATTATAATAAATGACAATAAAAACAATTTTAACCTACGCTCATTACCAAAATGTACATTAAAATTCTTTTTACTTTGACGCATCAAAATTATAATAAAATCCAACAGTATCGATGTTAGATCGAGCATTGAAAAAACAAGATGTAGAGTTATTACTCGTTTTGAATTTTGTCCCCTAAGGGGAAACTAACACATGCACATAGTAGAACATGTGCGTTCTCTCCGTTTACATTTGTCGTAATCGTTGAGTTGAATCTGGGATGAACGAGCTTACCTGGAAACTTCGGCTGATGAAGGCACATTTTTCGATATTAAGAGATACTTCCTTTTTACGAAAATTGAGAATTTTTACACTGAGCGATGTTACTCGTGGCACCGTCGAAACACAACTGCGAATTTTCCGGTTCCCTCTCCCTGACACTTTCCCATTTCCTTTGTTTAAAGACGGTGATAGACAAAGAGGGTTACGATTTGTCCAGGTAGGTAGGCTCGTTCATCCCAGGTAAACGTTCTCGGAAAAACTTGAGAATCGCACTGTACTACTTTGCCAAATTAAACTTCAGTGCTGTAAGTTTCATGAAAATCCCTCACCTTTCGACCGTTATCTCCCCTTGTCAGATAGAATCACAAATTACATTCGAGCGTTCATTTGGAAGGTAAAAATGAATACCGAACAAGCATCGTTCATTTGTAATTCTATCCTTTTAACTGGTCGTTGTTCTCCATGCTGTGGTTCTGTACTGTGAGAAGCGACAGAAAGTACGTGTGCACGAACAGCTCGGAACGTCATTCGCTACCAGAAGCGAGATTTTCAGCAACGACGCTGTTAAAACAATGCACGTACTGATAGATTATGGTAAAAGGATATTACGATAATTATGGAACAATACGAAACTGGGAACGTGTACGAACGACGTTATGAAAGCGGTGTAAACGGAAACTACATGCGAACCGATAAAAACTCTGTGCATGCATAATGTGATATAGAGTAGAGAAGAATGTCTCCTGTCACAGCATTCACGTCAACTCATCGACTTGTCTAGATACATATCGCGTGAAATAAATTGAAAAAGCCTGTTGCGAGGTACATAAGCACTCCAACAGAATTTCGTAAATCGTGATATACTGTTAACCGAACAATCGTATTTATCTTGATCAGCGATTAAATTGAAATTTCATTTGAATAATATATAACACATGTGGTGATGTTCATGAATGATATGAGTGTATGAGAAGGCAAATGTCACGAAAATGCTAGGTAGGAAAATGCTGTCTCGTTTTAAATTGGACTATTGAGGCACCTCAGCTTCTCGATCGATATATTAATCTCTAATTCTGCATTGAATCAAGTAAGACTAATAACAAGTGGAAGGAACGTATCAAATTAACTTTCTAAAGTAATAACACGTAGGCATCTAACATCGTTAGTAATTAGCCCCAATCAAAATGTATGTAGACGTTAGTATAAAACTTACGACAGCGTTAGGATGCATATGACTAATAACTAATGGTACACGTCGTGCAACACCGACTCTGATTAGAACATTCGCATGATTAATGCGATATCTCAAGCTGTATAATTGTGCAAATGGTTCGATAAAGCAAACGTATTGGTCGGTGTTCCACAATCTTGCAGATAGTGTACAGGTACGATTTCACGTGACATGCTAGTAAAATCCCGATGTGCTAAATGAACGAGAGACAAGGATAATACAATTTTGTCGATAGCTGATCGTGGGACAATAGAACAATCTTCCCATTGCAGACGTTTCTTTTTGCTTTTCGACTTGAGGACTCACCACTGGCAGCCCGTTGAATCATCGGACGCCTAGTGTCGCTATCAGACTTATCATCGATGGCAAAGATGTCAGTTGTAGGAGGCAGAGAGAGGCTGGCTCTCTTATGTTTGGCGGGGGTTAAGGGAGGATCAGGGCTAGAATTCCAATTGAACACCTCGTACATGGACGAGGACATTCTCATATCTGCAAACAAACCATTCAACGCTCCAGCATTAGCCACTTTCCAATTCAAGTTCCCTCTTCTTTTTGGCATTTTTTTTTTTTTTTTTTTTTCATGATGGACGTGGGTGGAGTTGAAACGACAGATAAACAAAGGGCCGGGTGGGAAAAAATTAGCACGAGTTAGATTATAGTGCGTAGTAACAGATACTTCGAAATATTACGATACACTTTGCCTGACAGAGCCGCCACCAATAAGTACAGTGATAAACAGAGCAGATGCAAAGGGATTTTAATTACCGAACGGAAGGAGATCTATCTCTATCTTGTCAAAGTTACAATTCTCTAGTGAAATTACATTTACTCAGGCATGTATGTATTATATGTACGTAGTATATACTCGCTACGAGTTAGCTCTCTCTTTCTATGTACTCTCGACACTTGTACTTGGTAATAACGTGTCACGGATTAGAGAGAAGTTGGCGGGCGAAGATGAGGTGCTTCTCGTGTGTGTACATGAGGAGAAATAATGTTGGCAAAAGAAGAATGATATAATAGCAAAATAAGGAAATTATAATCGTCAATGAATATCATTGAAATCGATGGTTCTGACTAAAATAAATATATAACGCGAAAAGAGTTATATAGATAAAGTCTGTAAAAAAAAGGACACATTACGCGCACGTCATTTCTTTCCAACATCAATGGAGAATATATCTCTCATGCTACACGACGTATCTGTCTTCTTCAATCGACAATAATGAAGATATCGTGTATGGTTAATTATGATCGTGTGTTGGTGATCGATGTGTAGTGTTCAGCAGTCATTTAACATCAATTTAAAACAATTGCTCAAAGTATGACGAATCGCAACTTTAACTCGACTTTGAAACGATCGTTCTTGTTCGGAATAATTATTTCTGCGACCGCGAACGATCGGAAGTGACAACTGAAAAATTAGCGTCAAGCAACGAGCGCAAAATTGCACAGAATGTATAGTTCGCATTTTTGCGTAATCGTTCTGGAACGTAGAGTGCTTCCATGCGTTGCGCACACTGCGAGCGCATCATCGATTGCGCAACTATGCAACTAGAAGCGCTGTGTGGAGAAGAGCGCAGTGAGAAAAGAAGCTACCTCCGCTGTTCTCAGCGAGAGTTTCGGATGCGATAATGGAATAAAAATATTTTCACACCAACAACACGATATTCACTATCAAGATTTTCTTATACACGAGCTCTCGCAATTATAGTCACGACCGTGTGTCTTTCCTGAATCAAATACGACAGAGGTTGATATCGTTCATTCGTAATCTTATATCAAATCTATTTTAATCGATTTTATCAACGTCGATCGTGCATTGCAGTTTCATAACATAGAATTCGACACTTATAACAATATATTCTGATAAAATCATTCTCTTAATTCGCAAGTCCACTAACCTTCGCCTGGTTTCCGGTCGAGTCCACCAGCGGACGTGGCTCGTTTCTTGCTACCATCTAACTCTCTCTCGGAGGATCTCCTGGTCAACGTCTGGGCGGCCGAGAACATCATCACGTTGGTGGTGGAGGTTGCCCTACGCGTTCCCCAGAAAGTGGAACCGCCGGTGTCAGCTGGCTCCAACATCCGCGGGGTTGAACTTCCGAACGCGAACACGATGTGCGACCTCTCGTTCTTCTTCTTCGCCTCGATGCGCGCCTCTCTCTCCTGGTTCTTCCGGAGGATCGCCTCTCTTCTCTCTCGTTCCGCCTCGCATATCAATCGTTTCCTTTCCTCGACTTGGTTTCGTCTGGAAGAGAGCACGTAACGAAACGCTTTTTAAGTAGGCGTCTCCCGAGGAGCGAGCACGTTCGCGAAAACGTACTAGAAAGTAACGTACTCTCGGGACTTAATAGGCCGCTCTATTCTTTTTTTAGACACGGAAAGCGCTTCTGTTGGGGGAGGACGGGGTGAACTTTATGCAGGTGTCACGGTAATTTCCCCGGCTTCTCTGCGGCCCGAAAGAGTTTAACCCGGTATCATATTAACCAGGTCAACTTATAACCTCGTAGAGAGCACGTAATCTCGTGAAGAGCATTTAAACACATCGATGTGGTTCCGTGTCGCTTTAAATTTCGCGTAACGTATGTTGGAAAAAAGCGGCCACTCGAGACATGCTATCGTTAATAACGAGGTCTTAAATAACCCAATTTCAAAGGCCCGACTCTTCTCTTTGCACAACTCGAAATTCTATACCGTCGATTCATTTAATCCGCATTAAGCAAACGGCAGAGTTGCCGGATAAATTTCTCTTATCACAAGGGTCGATTCTTGGACAATATGAAATTGGCAAACCTGTCGTTGTCACGCGACCTGAGTTCGTCGATGCGTCTTCGTCGTTCTTCTTCCCGTTGCTCCCGGAAACGTTGCGCGGCTAGTGCCTGCTGTCTCAGCTCTTCCAACTTCCGCTGCCGCTCCTCGTTCTGTCTCTCACGGACGAGCTTCGCCCTGTCCACGTCTTTCGCGTTTCCCGTCGACTCCCGTCCTGGGAACAAGCGCGAGTGATCGATTACTTTCACTCGTTATACGAGCCACGCTCGGAGCAGTTAATGATTTTCCGGCTAGGTTCCCGATGACAAAGGGCTCGAAACTTTTTAACGAATTCGCGGGTTCCCCCAAACGAATGAACGAAGAAATATCTTCCCTTTTATATACAAAATCGATCCGGAAATCGAGTTTCACTACTACCCGGCGCGATCTGATAACGTCCTAAGCATCTTTCGTGAGTTACGCTCGAGGGGGAGAAACCGGTGGTAAAAGGAAGCTAGTCTCGACAAGGCACTGCCCTTGAAAACGTGATACCTTCGTTCTCGCTAGGATGATCACCGTCGAGGGAGTCCTCGTCGTAGAGGCTTTGCCGGCGCTTCACATCTGTCGAGAAGAAAGCGAGAATATGTGCGTACGCACGTGAAATTCGGAACATATTACGGGCAGATTTACACACGCGTAAAATCGCGGCACACTGCAGACATGCGACACACCACAAGTACATAAGGCGACTCTCTAAAGCGGCTGTATCCTGACATTAACAAATAAAAAAAAAAATACATGCTTCATGCACTTATTGTCAGACGCCTATGATATATAAAAGGTCAAAATTCTGCGTTACTTTCCCTTCGGCGAAAAAAGGAGCTGACCTTTCGCTTTCCGAGAAAATTCCGGAGTGGCGCAAACGAAATTAATGAAATACAATTACGAAAGAAAGTTCAGGAACCGTGACCTCCCTAGCAGAATTTCCCATCCTAAAAGATTCGATTACCATGAGGCAGATAATAAATTTTTATGAGTCGACCCGAGCGTTCGTATTTCTTTTTTTCTCTCCCTCGCAGAGCGCAGCTGTTTTATCAGTTGGCAAGGAAATGGCGAGGTCGGCCGTGAGAAATAAATTCAACCCTCTTCTTCGTCTCTCGCGTTCCGTTCCCTGGGAAGTCGAGACACCGCGATATCAACGTGTTTCTTTCGCTCGGCTAACACGATTATTAAAAATGGGACGCGGTGAGGGATGTGTTCCCCTTCTGGCCTGGAGAAACACCCGATTTCCTGCCCTCGCGCTCGTGTTTATAAATCCAATCATAAAACGAAGTTAATATTCCTTTTCCTTCTTCACGTCTTGAAATACTCGAAACATTTTTATTTCTCACAACTCATTATCTTCCATATTCATTTACGTCGAAGATCGTTAAACGAGCTTCGCTGTCTTCTACGTCAGTTAATTTAAAACGATTATTAAAATGGGTATTAGAGAGGCAAACACGCAACATGATTGATTACAGGCACCACGCGTACGCGCGTGCCCTCAATACGAAACTGGAAATGGGAACCCAACCAGCTGATGAATGTGGTCATTTCCAATTTCGATGTCGGATTACTATTAATACGCACTCGTCGCAGGCTGACGTTAAACTTCGTGCAAACACCGGAACGAGTTTGGCAAAGCACACCGTCAACCCGTTATTTACCAAGCTGATTATTACCTGACGAATCGGTCGATGCCTCGTCACCTCCGATTTGGGCGAACCAGTGCATCGTTTGCTCTGCGGAAGACAAATTCCATGTTCGTTCCTATAGGAATTCTTTGTGCAAACAGACCCCCGCTCCCCATTCGTTCCCATTGATTGTCACGCGTTTCTGATTGCTGTATTTATACAATTTCTGTACGCGTGGCATCACAGAATAATCGAAAATAATTTGCCCTGTCACTCTCGCATTTCAGTGTAACACAAAAGATACGCGTATGTAATTAACAATTTAAGGGAGGACAGCTTGTTTAAAGATTCTTATGACAATAGCGAATTGCAATCGCGATCCGCTTCACGGCAAGTACACATAATAGTTAATTGGAAACATTCCCGTGTTTTCAATTCGCTTTCAATCGGCGTTTGGGAAGACGGGCTCTGATTGAATACCAACACTTCCGCCGGCTGATTGCAAATATCGTCGGACGCGGAGCGAAAAAGCGCAGCGAGCATCACACCATCCCCTCGGCGTCGGGCATAATTGATAATTGGAAAACGAACCGCGGTAAATGGGCGACGTGCTTGAAACGGATAATTACGGAAGCCAAAGCGCGTTCTTTTCGTCAAGTGATAGCAACGCGATAAAGCGGATTGTAGAATGGGAGCTCGCGTTACCGCGCGATCTATTATTTCATCGGAAGTCGTTCCAACCCGTCGCATTCTGCTTCCCCCGTGTACAACGGAGTCGTATTATCAAGACTGGTTCATCGGTAAGCTCTATTCTTTCACGATGTTATTAATGGCCGATTCCGTATCGATGTAACGTGATCGGAGGCGAAAGAGAATCGGAAGATGAATTTTCGACGGGAGCAACCACGTAAAATGGTATTACATCCGATTATTGATTACACCGGGATCCCTTTGTATCCTGATTAATTGCAGTTCGTGTGGCTTACTTTCGCGACCTCTCTTCGCGCCGCTTAAAAAAACGATGCGCAGAAAGGGATTAAAAAAAAAGGAACGTGATCTACAAAAAAGATTGCAGTTGGTTCATTTCCATCGAACCAATGGAGGAAGACCGCTGCCTACCTGCCAATGTTGTTTCCGGCTGCTGATTGCAAATGTCAGAGGAGAGTAAAGGTGTGGGAGCGAAAGAAAAGAGACAGAGACAGAGAGAGAGAGAGAGAGAGAGGCTGGCTGGTGGACCGCCTCGTGGCAACCGGTGATGTTAATTGGACGTTTCATTAGCAATGCGGATGCAGAATCGAACGAGAAGAAGGGAGACGACGCTCGAGCGAGAGACGTCACTGCGAGAGAGACAGGAAAAAATCCGGGGAACGCAGGAGTGAAGCCAGAAGGGGAAACAGGGTGAAAGCGTTTCGACGTTATACGGATATACAGTTCCGTCGAACGTGGGCATGCAAAAGGAGAAGGGTCGTCAGCGGGACGTGCGTCAGCAAATTAGGATAAAAAAAAATGAAAGAGGGAGAGAGAGAGAGAGAGAGAGGGAGTGAAGTAGCACCTACGCTTAAATGTACACCGTGTAATTAATATCAACGCTCCACTTCGCACGGAAAATATAGAGGGCGCGATATCGATTGCGCGTTATGTGAATCAGTACCATTCGCGGCATGATTCTGATAGAAATTCGAAGAACTCGTTGGATATTCGCTGCGTATAAATGAGAATAAATGGGAACGCGGCCCCCTTCAAGGTGATTATACGGGGAGAAAGAGGGAAGGAAAAATTGCGAGGAGAAAAAAACTTTCGACGATGATTTTAAATTACGGCGGTCTCGAGTCACAATGGGTCCCGCTTCTCGCGGAAGCGGTCGAAAAAGCGTCGAGAGGCCCTCGGCAGTAGGTAGGTACACACACGTCGTCGTCGGCTGTGTTAATCTTCTGTCGCCTGCAAGTCAGTCGGAAAACAATGGAAAATCCAGCTTTTTCATCCCCGGGCTCCGCGTCGGAATTGAAATTTCTCCGCGAAGAAACCTAATTGTCGCAAACGAGAGTTTCGCGGATAGTTTCCAGCTATTCCGAGCCGTCTCTTCCCTCTTATCTCCACGGCTACGTTCCGCCGCGGATCCTCTGGATTTCATCGGATATTCGCAGCCGTTCAACGAGCTCCCTTAATCTACGATTGCAAATTTATTACTCGATCGAGAGACCGTCTTTCTCTTTGTCGAGCATGGCCGTTTCGTTACCTTATCGACGATTCTCGAAGTCTGTTGAAACTTCGATGAGACGTTGGAGGAGTTGCCTCTTCCCGATTCTCTCGCGTCATCACCGGAAGAAATTAAAACCTCTTATCGATTCTTAACGATCGTCGAACGCTGCCCTCGTAAAAATACGAACGTTCGAAAGTAGGTCGGACGTAAAATATTCTCGAATGGGATCGATGCGGACAAAAAAAAAATACAACCCTCTCGAACGACCTGTATAATTCGCTTTAATTTCAAATATGCAATCGAGAAGACCGAAGATAAATCTCAAAGGATAGAACCGTAAGCAGTCAATTGGAAGCATGCGCTAGTTTCTTAGATAAAAAGGAAGCGACAAAGAACGCATTGCCAATTGAGCGTCCGCGTGCCAGACTATTGTTGCTACCGATAGGAACGTCTGGATCGCAACGTTACAGAAGAGTCTAACACAGCCTGAAACAACGTGGAGTCTGCATCCTTGTACTTGCAAAGAGTAGAGAATTCATGCATGTACACAGAGGGCTTTCCCAGTTCCATTCTTTTCCTCCTTTGCCTAGACATTTCCTTTCTTCCCGAATGTCAGTTGAACTATTTTCACTAAAATTATTCGCAGCACAATAGTCGACTTACTCGAAGAAGAACGTGAATCTCAAGCACGGTCGATAGGTCGAAATACTTCTGTTTGAAAAATTACTTTTGACTTTAGAATTGTTACAATATTTTCGAAGATTGTAATACGGTCAGAAAAACCCTCTGTGCCAGCTTGTTCCTATTCCAGTTGTTGTCAAGGTCGCAGAAGCATCTCGCGGGCCGCAACGTTGAAAAATCTGTCAGTAGATACAGTCAAGGGACTCTGTTAATCTTTCACCGTTAGAAAGTGGGTCGGAAAACAATAGGAATCTGTTCTTCCCATCCACCTTGGCGCGCACCATTCTTACTATTTTTCTGTCCTCGCGGCACTTCTCGAGTCCCGACTTCTCCACTTCAACCAACCCCCTTCCGCCATCCTTGCTCCTTCACCCGCTTTAGCACCCTCCTGACTCATCGGTACAATATTCACGGCTACTTCTCTTCGAGTAATGCATAATACCAAGCGGCGGCCATCCACTTTCTCGTACAGACGGAAACGATAGAACCTTATTATCGGCCGCATGAACGATCATCAGTCTACGTAAGTCCTACATTACGTTTGATCCTTATTCAGCATTTCAATACATGCCTACTCAATTCCGTGATCTAAATATTCATTCCACTCGAGTATCATTTAAAGATGTATTGGCTATACAGTAAATCCCAAAAGTTTATGCACCTTAGAAAAACGAATTTCCTATAATTAAAAAGAAATCAGACGTCGGAAGAACAATGCTAATAATAAATAGCTACGTGCTGAAAAGTATAGAAGAAAATATCCAATTAAGTATTGACCCTGACGAAAATTTTTTTTTTTTCAAAATTGCGAAAAATGCTTTAAATAAAAGTTGTTTTCCTTATAAC